AAACAAAGTGGTAAAGGGAACAAAGAAACGTGCCAAACAAATGAAAAAAAGCAATGTTTTACCTCATTCATTGGTGGCAATGCAGTCCATGAATTTGCATCTGGGTCATATTTTTCTCCTGAGCTCAGGGTCTGCTTATTTTCATCTTGGCCCCCAAATACAAACAAAAATCCTTCTGCAAAAAATCAAAGGAGACATGCAGGAAAGTTGAATCTTAAGTCTTGAGCATCTTCTGTTGAATATAAATGCTATAGTTGAAGAGACAGTAGTAGAGAAACCTTCTCTGACAACAACAATGGATTCGAGATCTTTATCACATTTCATTTGCTCCTTGGTGATAGAGCCATCAAATTTGTGAGTCACTTTGACCATTTTACCTCACTCAGTATGTTTGAGTGGATGCCCTGTGCTCTACAGCATAAAAGGAAGACGGACACCACCCACTCAGTCACCAAGCAGCTCTGGCTTATCTCAGTTTATATATTCTCAGGAAATAGTCAACCTTTCTTTTAATGGCTCTGAGGGGATGAAAAAGAGAAATCTAAACCCCAGGCCCACAGAAAATGTGGTTTCTGGCAGGAAAGCCCCTCCAAAGTTCTAACCCTCAGATGAAGGCCAACCAGAACTAGAAACCAGATTTAAATCTCCTTGTTTGTCTAGGAAACCTTAAGGTCTGAATTTGATTTATAGTAATTCCAAATTAGTAGTGTTTTCAGGCAACTGGCAGAAACAAATATAAAACTTCTATTGAAGAAAGTACCATTATCTAAACTTTAGATTCTAACATTCTAAGATGTTAAAGCATCAGATTATTCCTACAAACACTTTTTAAGAAAATGATCAGCACCGCACCAAAGGTACTCAGGTATACAAAGAAACTAGGCCCTATGAAGAAGAGCCAGCAGAAGCAGACCACAGGAAGTAGTCTTGCCAAGATTTCAAATTTCAAATACTGCACTAATCAGAAAGACTTAAACAATAATGCTTATTATGTTTGAAAAATAAAAAACAAATCTGAAGACAAATTTTCTTGGAAGTGGGACTACAGAAGTCACTTGCAGGTTTAAAACAGATTTAAAGAGAATTTCTAGAAATAAAAAAAGAAAAAAACGTAATTAAAAATTCGGTGGATGGATTTAATGGCTGATCCATCAGTTAAAGAGAGAATTCATTAAGTGGAAGATAAATCAAAATAAATCACAAAGAAGGCAATATGGAGCGGCGAAAAGATGGAAAACAAAACAAAACAAAAGAGAAAACAGGAGACAGAGGATGGAGTAAAAAAGTCTAACCATGTTTAATCTAACTTCCAAAAGCAGGGGCAATATTTGAAGATATAATAAATAAGAATTTTCCAGATTTGATGAAAAGTCAAGCCACAGTCAAGATGTCCAACAACCCCCAAATATGGTAAAATTTGAAATAAGATGTGCACCTAATTAAGCACATTGTAGTGAAATGGTAGAAAACAAAGACCAATAAAATAAAATAAAATAAAATAAACACCTTAATATAGCCCAGAGAAAAGACAGATTTTTTTGAGTGACTACTAACTTAACGAGAGCCAGAAGTAAATGGAAAGATATCTTCAATGTACTGAAAAATAATAGATACCAACCTAAAATTCTATACCCAACCAAGATCCTTTAAGAATGAAGGCAAAATAATGACCGACATTAAAGGCTATTCAAAGGGGTGAACTTCAGAGCGAAGTAAAATGAATCCTAGGTGGAAAGACTGAGGAGTAGGAAGAAAGGAAAAACAAAGAAAGTGGTAAGAATGTGGGTAAATCTAAACCAACTCTATCTACCTATAGACATATATATATATATATATATATATATATATATATATATATATATATATATAAAACACAAAACAAATAATGTACATATGTAAATATTTTATTCCTAAATAATCATTGTTTAATACTGTAAGACTGTGGAACATGAAAACTAGAGTATAAATGTACNTCTTTCTGTCTTTTCACCACTGCTTGAAAATTCCAAGATTCAGATGCCATGCATCAAGATGTCACTCAATTCCTGCCCAAAATAATTTAGTTGAGAGGGCACAGACAGTGAGAGAATATATTATGAGTTTATCCCAGTACTTACAGATGTAAAATACCTATGGCACTGAACAAAGCTTTGGCTTAATGATGCACTCCCTGCCTACACCGGGGAATAGTAATAAAGATACAGTGCTCTGAACAGCTCACGTGAGCCATCTGTTTTCACTCTACCCAGTAAGCAGTGGTAGTTCTTTACCTGTAGATTAATATGTCTCCCCAGTACTGTATGATGATTAAGAAACCAGGTTTGGAAGGTCTGGTTGCTTCCTAGGTCAGTGCACTCACAACGCCTTTATCAAGTGCAGTCCTTAGACACAGCAGTGCTAGAGCCCACCGGCTGGGTAAACGCTCATGTACTGTTGTTTCCTATCTTGGTATATGGCTGATGCTAATGAAGGCAAGCTACCAACAGAGAGAGAATTCTATAACATTAACTCTCTTAACACTATCAATCAGATTAAAAGGCATACGTAGGAAACAAAGAAGCATTAACGAGAAAATCCAGTTTGTAATCACAAGATACAGTTCTCACCTTTCTGACCATGGTTAAATCAGGTTGCTTCGTCCAGGTTTTAGAATAAATATCATAACACTCCATGGAAATTAGCTCTTTATCACCATCCTCTCCTCCTAAAATGTACAGCATTCCATCTATCTCCACAATTCCAAAGTTATGTCTTGCCTGAAAAGACATCAAAGATCTTTGTATACAAAAGGCCAGCTATTATATCGAAAGCTGATAGTTATACATTTAATAAAAATAACAGCTATCATTATATTCCAGGTTCCAGCAAAGAAGGGCCATACTCAAAACCATCTCTCTCAAATATTTCCGATTCCCCTAGCACCTCACTCTTTTACTGCAATAGATAGATAACTCAAGCCCAGGAATTTCTCAAAACAAGGGATTACCTGCATGGTAGATTCATGGTCAGAATCATTACTTTTTACTTATAAGAGCTCACAACACAAAAAAGAAATATTACCTTCTGGTTCAATAAAATTATCTGTTTTTAGCAATGGGCTATAATTGTTTCCAAATTGATGTGTGAAAGGCCAAGAACCACAGCAACAGGACCACAGGACTGCCTGTGGTGCGAGAGGCAGGGGGGACAACAGGCTCTTGCTAAGGCTATCGGCAGTGACAGAAGCCCGAGCTGTGTCACATTCATTCATCGATTCTTTCCTTAGTCCCCTATGTGCCCAGCACTATTCTAGCGCTGAACAGACAAAGTCCCCTGGCGTCAAAGAGCTTACATGAACACTGTAAAACTCCCGAGACTGTGAGAAGGTGCTACCTGGTATGAAGAGAGAGAAGGCAGGGTAGGAGAGACAGGATTGCTAAGGGGCTGGAGTGAAGGCTGCCCTGACAAGGTGCTATGTGGACAAACA